AATGGATATCCAAGGAGTTTTATCAAGAGAAGCTTGATGAAGAAGACATCTCAACGACGGCAACACCAAGAACAGGCCACCAGACAGGTAGTCCTACCTTACATCAAGAATATATCAGAACTCGCAACCAGGTTATTGGCTCAAAAAGGAATCTTCGTGGCCCACAAACCGAATGCCACTCTAAGGAAATTAATCTCTAGTCTGAAGGACAACCGGGACCAAACCAAGAGGAACAATGTGATATACCAAATCGACTGCAAAGACTGCAATATGTGCACGAATAAAGGATCACAACGCGGCTGTCAGGAGGCATGACCCCCTGGCCTTGATATCTATACACGAGGACCAAGAAAGCCACAAGTTCAATTTGGAAAACGCGAAAAATTTTGGCATACGGAGACACGCGATACGGAAGAGAATTCCTGGAAGCATGGTACTCCACGGCAACTTCAATCAGCCGGTGCATCGACCTGGATCCAATTTATGCACCTCTACGTGCAAAAGACCAACATCTCAACCGGAGCATTCAAGAAAGAGCAAATATTGGATTCACAAACGAAGAAACAAGGATTGCCTAGGAGTCAAATTAATAAAGGTCACAAGCCGGAACTCGGAAGGACAAAGACCACTTCAACATCGACCAGACTACGACGGCGAGGGATGCCAATTTCAAAGGCCACGTGGGCATTGGCGAATGAGGACACGGGATAAAAAAGAGCAGCCAATGGAACCGCTCGACCGAATAACTAATCGCGGTCAAAGGTCATCCCCGGCTACCAGCACGTATATTAACACACGTGACACTACTCAAGGCACAGCCACTAACCCACTGCTATGCACAGCTACGCTCCCCAATAACGCACTGATGACGTCACTTCGATTGGTGATGAAATGTTTGCAATCAAACTGCCCAGCTCAGCGAACAAGCCAAACATCAACAATCTGATCGCTTTGTTTTGCCAAACGAAGGGCATCGATTACATGGCTAGACGGTTTTATCAACAAACGGTTCCCTTAAGAAGCCTAATCTAGTTCAGTAGGATGAAATTCTGGCGATCCGGAAAAGCTCATCATAGGGAAGTGTTCTTCATACTAGGAAATTTCGGATGGAAAATAAACGTATCTATCGATCTAAAGCATGTGTACCATAAACCGCTTTCTGGTGGGATGAACAAAACTGAACGCATTCCAATTCGGTAAGATGGAAGTGAACGTGTCGGATACATGGTGAAGCTTCAAAGAGATTAAAAATAATCCTACTTATTTGTCACGACCAGCTCAGTTGAACAGCATAACGAACGAGAATGAATTTACGTTAAAAATTGAGAATATTTAAAAACCACTATCCTTGAGTGTTTCTCTTCGCATAACAATACGCCACAAGATGTGTCACCAACAAAGATGTCTGTCACTTTCAAACCATCCAGAATTAATCTTGGTAAGTTTTCTGAGGACATCTTTTTCTAGTATGGTTTATTGCGAATAAAAAAATGAAGCCTTACCCTGACAACAACCGCAACAATAATTAGATTACGGTTATGACATTTTGAGAATGTTACGGCGCGCAAATGCCCCCTAGGGTTAAAAAAAGACACCAAAGCGGCCATTCACCCTGGTTGACGAGCAGCTTCGCAGGCGACTACAAGCCCGTGCTCCATGAGTCTTCGTGTATTGTATTGGATCTTACCGTGGTTTAACGATTTGTGTGTGTCTGTGGCCCACTGAGCCATACTGGGGGTGTCCGTGCGACACCCAAAGGTTGGTCAGTGGTCAGAGGTCTAAACAAAACAGTCTCCTGGTCCTCCAAGTTGGGATTTGGGACTTGCTGCTTGAAGAAAGGAGATTCACTGGGAACTTCTCACAAAGTTGCTGAAAACTCTTCGACTTTTCGAATGTCGTACCAACTGAAACGTAGCACATTCAGTCGAACACTACCATAAAATAGAGATTCAGTTCAGTCTTCCAAGAAAATCAGATTGATTCGCAAATGAGTGTATTTGTGGTGATTTACTAGGATTTCTTGCCAAACACTATTACCTTGGGGTCAGGCTTTTGACCCAAGGACTTTACTTGAGGGCTCTAATCGTCCTCCTGTTCTCTCTGACATTATCCAAGCCCAAGCACAACCGCAACACATGCTGTCATGGTAAAACTAACAGTACGTAGGAATATAACCACTCCTAACCTCATCTTATTTAGTGGATACATCATCCGGTAAGTTTTCCACTGCGTGGCCTAGTTTTACACGACTCATTATCATTTCTTTTCAGCTCATTTAAACACACAGGTAGATATATAAAAAAACAACTCTTTTTTTAGATTTTCGCTCACTCAGTATAAGTAGAACACAGACAGATCTCAAGCAGCTTCTTGCCTCATCTGATTTGAGACCACAGATTCATTGGATTCTTTCTTCAGCGTCAGTGTATCATGATGGGGCCAAAATTCCAGCCTATTTTAGTCGACAGCTTAGATACCTGCTTGACTGAATCCGGACGCATTCACTTGGCTGCAGAGGGCTAATAAAACCCAAAACAGAATCTGTCCATCGAAGTCACTTGCCTATAGTTCGACTTCCGAATCTCTCTTTTTTCCCTGTTATTTTTTAGTAAATCGTTGGTAACCACAGTGTCTCTGCGACAGACGTTCTCCCGGATAAAACGTTCCGGAGTTCATGCAGATGTGAGACCGCCGATCCCTCTACTTTCATTCTGCTTTGATTTTTTTTATATCAACAGACAGATGGACAGACAGTGGGCAAAGTCACGTCACCCTGTTGACTTTTCAGGAGAACCTGAATACTCGGTGGACAGGGTGGGAAGTAAACCTACAACCGTTACCATTCCCGCGTTACCACTAGGCAAATAGGCTTGCGGTCACGCCCAAGCTAAATATACAAGTGTGACTTTAGAATTGACTTTTACTAACAGCTGCATCCACAGTCCTACAGAAATTTTTATTAGACACAGAGACTGGTGGAAGAGTTTGCCACTTCTAGAGGACATCTGTTATTGAGCTTACAGTAGATTGTTTTATAATCTCCTCAAAGCTGTCCTGGGCCTTTTCAAACAGCTGCTTTCCTGGTGAATTTTCGCGGTATCAGGACTCAACAACATGCGACTCCTTTGGATGTGTCCGTATGTCATTCTAGTTGATCGACGAATGAATCACGGTCATGAGGCTCTGTTATTGATAAAAAAACTTGTTACTTATGCTCAAACTTACAAAGTAACAGAACAGAATGAATGTATATGGCAGGTAGATGGACATTTTTACAGTCATCCGACCCACCTTTGTCAGCATTCAAAAGGAACATGGTGTTTGGAATGACCAGATATCCAGTTGGGTCAGTCTCCTCCGGAACAACGGCTACTGGGTTATTTTAAGGTCGCCAAAGGGATGCATTCAAATGTAACAGAATCAAGAATTGAATATGTTCAGCGATTGTATGGACAACAGAATAATTTGACGAACCAGTACTTGATAAATGGTATTCCGGTGAGGTCTTGTGCAAAATGTTCCATTCAGGTTGACATATGAAAAAAAGCATATGAAACTCAGGGACTCCTGATATTGTTATAGCAATATAAAAAGGGAATATCTTATAAAAGTTTTCTACCTCCGAGTACTGGTTGTATGTGGATAAACACACAATTACTTGTTGCAGATCCATCGGGTGCCAGGATCCATACACTGGAGTGTTGTATATACGATACAAAAACCGTTGTTGTAACAAGCCGACCTTCGTTATGTCAGTTCATGTAAGTTTCACTGAGGATTAAAAGCTATTCATCAATTTCGTGCATGCAGTTCACGCAGTTTCACTAGCAGAATCAGTGTGCGAAATTTGATGCTTTGTTTCTTATGGGTTTCGCGCTCTAAATCAGTCAAGTGTTCTCGGTTCAGAGAGATTCTTCCCATATTTGAGACCGAATGCACACCATTCTGACTTCATCGATCTGCTGGCTCTTTCCATGTGCCAACGATCCCACACACAAATGAGGCAATCATCCTTTATTCATGAATCAGTAACCAATTTGTCAGCGAAACTACTTTTGTACCACAATACCCAAAGCTATCACCCAAGAATGGCGACAAGACTCCTAATTTGTTTAATCTATTGGTGAATGAATTCGTTTGCTCTGAGTAATACAAACTGTTCGTATAAGATAACTGACGATTGGAACATTTTGACTGTGAGTGTGTCACAACACGCATTAGATGTAAATATCATATTCCATCGCCCACCACGGACAACTCCATAGAATGTGTGAGTCAGATTTTAACGCAGCAACTCGCAGTTATTGATCCTATTGTGTTTATTCCCTATAACACTGTGGGTTGCAGTTCACAGACTAGTATCTTGCGGTCGCTAACGGTCTAGCGGAATACGGATCGTTTTCTCATAAAACGACTTGTTCATCATCAGCAAGCGGGTTCATCAGCTGAGGCTCAGAGAGCGAGTAATCATGGAAAGTGAAAAAAATTGTCTTGGTTATATCAAAGATACCAAAAATTATTTAATTTCAAACGACAGTATTCCCCCGTGGACATCTAAGCATTGATATGACTTCGAAATCGTGCATTTTGAGCCACAGATGCGTAATTCTTTCAATCCAAAGTATTAATTAAAGACAAACGGCAATCCTTTCTTTCCCAAAAGACAGACAGGTGGATGACGAAATTAGTTCAGAGGTAACCAATAGTGAATTTCGTCACAATTACGCTTGTGAACTTTTGCGCCCACTCTTGGCGCACCTCACCCCAAACCATGTTCACGTGCACTGTGCGTTTGTGGTACTGCAGACATACGTAGACGCACAACGGTTTGGACGAAACTGTCTCCGCGGCGGGACTAACCTCCGTTACGATCAGGATGGGGTGGTGGTCATGGGACAGCGGCTAGACACGTAACTTGTGTGTGTTCGCGCGCGCGCGCTGTCCACGCAATCCTTCAGATTCGGTTGAGACACCAGACATCGATAGAAACACGTTTGGANGTCCGACGCATTTCCACAAACCGGTTCAGCATGATCAAATCACCGTCACTGTGTGCTCTTTTATTGACTCTGAACATCATCAGCTCTGTTAACAGTGGTAAGTAGTAGTGTATGTGGATTTTTCTAGATTCAGCATGCCAGTCTTACAGATAGACTGACTTCTGTAACCGCAACTAGTAGTGTCAACGGAACATTTGCAGTGTATACTTTTAGTCACCACCAGCTAGTACTGAATTTGTCTTCATTATACAGTTGTTCAGTTCACTAGGTTAGTTCGATTGAACAGATATTTGGAGATGTCATGTTTTGAGAATGAATTCCTGTCGTTCCGATAACTCTTGGACACTGTATGTATGTGGTCGATCGTGTCTGATTTAGTCGGTAGTAGTACGATAGCATATTGACTGTGCTGGAACGACTGAGAGTTATTTTGGGGCACAATAATATCTAGAAACTACAGTGCAGCTAGAGCATCTCATCTGGTTTTCCCTGCTTCTTCGTGTGATTTACAAGACGTGAGTGCAAAATCCTTCTCACCGACTGCACGATCCACGTGATCAAAATATGGTTTTAGGCCAACCGATTTCTCGAAAAAAAGGATTTTGCGAGAAAAACGTAGCCGAATTCTTCGACCCCATGGAGGTTCGACCATAAAAAATGTGAGCTTATGGGAAGGTCGCCGTGCCATGATAACTAGCCTCAATTATGCTTTTTTCCTTTCGGGTAAACATACGTGTGAAATACACTCATGTGATACACTCATTTTGACAGGAGACTCACCTGCATCCCATCCTATTCTCTGTTTTGTGGTGTTTTTAAGCAACGAAATATCCTGTACCAGGACACCTAGTGTTTCAGTTAGTACGATATTCGAAACACCGCGATACACCGTATAAACATGATGCACTGTACATAGGGTACCTCAGATCTCTTCGACAGTCAACAAACGGTTTTGCCCATCATTAACGAGGAATTCGGTTGGGATCCAGGTGAGTCATCTGCGGAACCAAATGTGTCGCTAATTTCGTGCGATTTGGGTTAAAGTAGAAGATAAGGTTGACGGAAACTCAGGAACCGCGCCTACCTGATGAACTTCAAGGAGAGCAAAACCGAAGGCGCGCTGTTGAAGAGCTTCCAGCAATATTATGAGTAGTGTATTACTTATATACATGTGATGCATTCATCTAAAATTGGTGTGATGCTGAATCGAACCCGTATGGTAAATGCACAAATATTCCAAAATAATAGAAGGATCATGAGAGATGAGCGGATAACTGCCAGCTGGTTTCACCATGTCGTGATAGTTTGACAATCAGAAAGTACCAGTTACTAAGGCATTTTGGATTTCTGAGTTAGTTGAAGCCGATATTATACTTTTTAGTATCCATGACCTATTTCAATAGGTTGGACCAGAGTACACGCTTCTCAGATGCGTTCCTGCCATCCTGTGATCACATATGTTAGCCTGAAACCATACAGCTCGACTGTACAAGTGTAAGTATGTGGGAAAGACTAGTTACGTCCCGCCAGCAGGTAAGAGGTGATTAGTGAGGTAGACTAGTGAGAAGTTGGTTCGTATGTCGTGCCAAAATCACAAATGGTTCACTGAACTGGCGAGAACATCAAACGGTCCAGTGGGCCTACTACCTTGACCACAGCATAACAGTGATCCGGGTACTCACAGACGACTCAGGCTAAATGGTATTCATTATCAACGCGTGTCCTTTTATGGGCGAGGTTTCGCCTCACTCATGATGTTTACAAGTGGTCAGTGCGAATACCCCTTACATCAGCCACACAGGACACACGTTGATGCTTGGCTTCCAGACTCTTATGTACGTTCCTCAAGATGACATTAATGAATAGAAGGTATTCGAACGGAATTTAATTTTGCCTTGCGGCATCCTCAGTTAACTGTGGAGATTTTCCTCCCGGTGAAAAATGGAGATAGGGGAACTTTGCAGTATCAGCTTGATTTCGATTGTCTACGTAAGCATTTTCTGGACTACTTGTTTGAACAGTTAATACTGTTTCATATTGAGCGCAATTTTCATCTAAGAGCATATGTTTCACTCTTCTTGTAAAAGAGATGGCAGACTAAATAGGATGTTGGGCAAAATTACTTAAGAACTAAGTTTTTTTTAAAATTCCGTTGTGGGAGGCTTCTGAACCCACCTGAATTGTCTTCAACGTTTGATCAGTACACGTCATAATCGGTATCACTCTACTGTATTGAGACGGGGTTATATAAAAAACTCCAACAGACTAGTAAAGTCACTTTCCTTTTCAAATATTCCGATGAAACAGTGTACGCCAGTTCCATAAATTTTTAAGTTGCGCAATTTAGCCTCAACTATTAGTTGCCTAATGGTGAGGATTGGATTGCCCCTACAACTCTAAGGAAACTACCTGAAGGGATGCCACCTGATCAACAGAAAAACAAGTGGTCAAACCCATTATGCACATAATTTAGATGACGATGTATACAACATGGACTGGATTCTTGTGACTCACTGTAATTTAGTGGGTTTTCAGGATTGAGTGACAGAATATACTAAGAATAATCGTTTCTCTAAAACCACATACCCGTGAGACGCAAATAAATTCACCGATATGCTGAAAAGAAACATAATACTCATGTAATCCACATGAAACATTTGGTGACTCGTAAAACCGACATCAATCGGATACATCGAACTCTTTTTTGTTGGATTCAAAAATGACGAATTAAGTCAGGGTCACACGGGACCGAGTATATGTACACTATTTTCAGTGACAAACAAGATCGAAACAACAGATTCATTACTGGGAACCGCGCCTTCCTGATAAGTCCCCTACCTGTCAGCCCCGTAGTTGGCTGTCGAAGAGTTTTCAGCAACCTTGTGAGTAGTCGTCTTTGTGAAAACTGATTTAATTTGTTCTACATACCCTAGAACACGTAGTGAAACCTGGGCATCTTATTATTCCGAATGATCTCATAGAATGGAGCTGAAACAATAATTTGGTTGCCTGCTAAATTGACTGGAATTTTAAGGAATGGCACCAAGGCACCAGTGCCTATATTAATCTACTTTTGTTGTAGACTGCCTATGGATTTTGATCATGTTTGAGGACAGCACCTCACGGATGCTGATGTAACATGCTAGTAAAGTTTGAGTAAAATGAGAGCCATCGTCCGTTGATCTCTCAAGTGATTGCGTGTCACTCAACACACAAAACTCAGTACTGACGCGAGTAAAACACTCGCTCATCCAAGTTGCTTTGGGTTCGCCTCTCGTTCCGTGTGTGTAATTGCTGAGCCTCCGCGAATTGCATTCACTTGTCGGTAAGACAAAAGATACTTCAAATGCACGGTTCCAAAGATACCAGGACGTCCTCAGTTCCCCTGGTAGTAGGGAGGCTCGATTCTTGGGTGAGCGGTCCACTGGAACCAGAGCTAACTGGGCCAAAAGCCTGCGCCAACCCTACTCATATACCTTAGTACAGTTAATTGAAACAAGCCTTTGTGACTCTACTTAACTGCTTGAAGGTCCATTAGGTTCGTTTAGTTGGTTTTCTTTTTTTTCGGGAAGTGAGCACATCCTGGGAACGCCAGGAAGTTCCCCTCATCTGTAGTTCGTACTCCAGGCAAAGGATTGAAACTATAGCGGTTTTTTCGCCAGTCCGTCGAAGTCACTTACTTTCAAACCTATGCCCAGTAACCTTAAGACACCTCATGTCAACTTCGCAGAACAAGACATTGATTATTCTGAACTATTTCCCTATGTTTACGTTCTGTTCTATCTCCTATCGAAAACACGAATAAGAAATGTTTTGAGGAGCAGTCAGCGCAGCATATTCCTCACTCCATTACAGGTATCCACCAGTGTCCTGATTTTTGTGTGAGCCCTCATCCCCTTTAACAAGTATTTATAACGATTGATTGAACTAGTGGTGACACGTATGCTATGGACATCTTCTGTCCTTCTATGCTCACATACATGTTCTTCCGCTAGTATTGCTCACCTTCTTATATTTGTGACAGTGTTCCTTTATGGTAACAATGTAGCATGTAGTGTTGCGTTGAATTCAGCCTCTCTTGATACCTGATGGAGCCAACCACCCGGTTTGGTTCCAGCGTACTGGTTTCTCCTTGAGCAATGAACAGGATCCAGCTGGCACCTCTGCAGCAGTTCCAACCAGTTTATGTCAGAGGCACGCGTAATAATTATGACAAACGTTGCAAGTTGAACCAGCAGCCAACAGTCGAAATCCCCTCTGTTGAAGTATTGGTACTTGTGTGGCCACCCTGTCCAGGCTCTTCTAACGAAAACATGCCAACAAGGCCAATAAATAAGCCTCATCCAGTATGACGTAGGTAGGCTTTATGGAACCAAGAATTCCAATGTCCACAAATCCCAAAAAAGACAAAGTCACCGTCGCATATGACGGAAAAATAATTCCAATCCAACCATAGAAAAAGCCCCATCATCCACTAGCAGTATTCTCTCAATCGACTGTCTGTGTGGGCTGTGTGGCCAGTGGCCTATCGGGTCGAACAGTTACCTACTGGAAATGACCAAAACCATCTGTTAAACAGCTTCATCTTCGGGTTTTGATGTCTATGATGCTTGGTTCAACCAAACCTCGGATTGTGCAGTGCCACTCCTGTAGACCAATCCCGGGAATTAATCATTATATGCTGATCTTCCAGTCTTTTCTGGACAGTTATGATCTGGCATCATGGCAGGTCATTCTTATTCAGACCTCTACACATGCAGGATGATTCCACACACCTTGAGTCGTGTTCCCCGACAGCTTTATTGACAAGTTCCATCCGTGTTATTGACAAGTTCAATCCGTGTCGGTCAACAAAATGCAGATTTGCTGATCCTTTTACAGCTAAAAGAGAAGCGTCCACCATGCTCGACTTATTATGGAAGGAATTATGCAAGTGGGGATGCGAATAACCACCGCAAGACACGCCATGCTAAATGCAGGGACCTTATACTCTAGAACAAGTAAATACCTAGTGACGTCGCACGGTACCCTCTTTTTGTTGAAGCCTGTTCAAGGCGTCTGTGGGACTGGAAGTCCCTTGTCAACTTTGCTCGATGGGTAGTACGTCACCAGCTCTAGATAAACTCACATAATTTTGTGGTTTGGTGTCAAGGCTGTACCAGTCATTCAGCCCTTTTTGTGACAATCCAGTGGCTACATACCACATATATGTCGTGCGAGAATTATATCAGTTCCTAGAGTTTTAGATCTAATCTCAGCAGGCCAACAGGTACTAATCTCCGTGTTACTCATATGCGTCCGATGTTTTCATAAAGTGCTATCGATCAATAAACAAGTATATTGCAGCTGCTGTAATTCAGTTTTCATTTCATTTTTGTGAGAGTTGCTTAGAAACTACCACCCTGTAACGTATTTTGCCTTGTGACCTCAGTTTGTCTTGTGTCGGTACCTCAAAAGCTTGTGCTTGGTAGTCACAAGATATGACGATCGTCTCTACAGGAGCTTCCAAGGCATCGATGTTTCTAGTTCGCTCCATCAGATACTCAAAGAAGGGTGCTATAGCAGTTATTTCCATATTTGGAGGTTAACTGCAGCAGACGAATGATTCAGAAAGACTCAATCCCTTGAGCGCTTCTCAACACGGCGATGAGCGAGGTTGTCAGCCCATCAACACCACACCTAGAATACCAATTCCATCTTAACGAGGGACTGATTAGTGGGTTATACAGTTAGAGAGTCGTTCGGTCGCCGCAAGCATAAGACCGAAAAAATAGGAAAATAGAGTATTAGCCACACTCATTTGTTTTTTCCAAGAAGNTTTTTTTTCCAAGATGGTAACCACTTCTGTTGATGAAATCGGTGCCGGGATGTAGTTGGGCATTCCCTCCGCTTCACGGACAGATTAATCTGTCACCATCAATAAGGACGTCTAAGATTTCTCGATCAGGTCGTGCATGCCCCATTGAAGCCAAATCAACCTACTGAGGTCACAAAGGAAAGGCGCACAAGTGAATACGATGTCTTCTCCAGTGTCCAGTTAATGCCAGCGAAACTGATGGAATGATTGTATTAGTGGTCTTTTGGCGGACGTCTTGGCCCAATAAAAACACTACGATCTTAGTAGCTGAGCACAATAAGCGATATACGGGCATGAGTGCGTATGAAAAAAGCCGTTTCCCCACCGTCCCAAATATTAGGCAATTTGGTTAGTAATAATCCGCCTTTCCTCATGGATGCTACGAGACCGTACATGTTTTTTGGGTCATAGTCAAGCAGATGAACAGCATGGAAGGTTTGGTTACCGCGTGCGCTGATAGACTGAAAAGCAGCTAGAACTGATCGCTTTACCTCTTTCGGTATCCTCGATTACTCACTGTGGCGTTCATCTTCGATGCAACTTATCAAGAGGTAAGCGAACGAACTCAGTCTTGGCCAGAGAAGCCAGATAATTTTCCACCATCAGAGCTGCAGGCAACCGGAAGGTTCTGTGTACATCTTGCATTCCTTTCCAGTCGGAAGCAACCTTTTCTCTACTTATCAGAAGCGAGATGCACATGAACTCACAAAGGATTTCCGATGCTCGCAATAAACTGACTATTAATAGTTCAGAGCAATAAACTTGAAATCTTAAGGCAGTTTTTGTTAAGAGCGTCGAAAAGCGATGGCAGACGTGAGGACAGCCTGGGTTGAATACAGTATGATTGCTTAGAGTGAAATTTTCTCGTTTACTTCTCGGTTTACTAACCAGTCGTTGTTTCACAACGAACTACCTCTTCGACCTCCTCTTCGACCCGATAAGATTGTTGATGGAGTGAGGCCGTCGAAAGTCACTGCGAGCCTGCTCATCGTTAAAAGCTTTCTACGTAAGTACGGTACTTTTATTCCAAGTATCTGGCCTTGAGTATTTGAGTATTTTCTACCCTTTCATCTCAATGTTTGATCAGAATTTAGCCCAATATTCTCTCGTTCTTCGGCGGTAACTTACCGCTATTGATTAAACTAGTAATTTCGCCCTCCTTGTGAGTTATTCTCCACTTTTTATGCTAAGGGGTGTAGTCCGTTTTCAACGCTGGGACAGGAAAATTCCAAATGAAACCGGCGAACTGATGAACACATTTGTATGGAAAACCTGCTGGGATTTTTTCACATTGTCAGTCGATATAGGTCAGCCTTCTCGGTACTCTCCCTTCTTTCAACCCTGTGGTGTTAAGACAGATAGGAATGAATCGATATTCCAGAATGCTACATTCGAATAATCCGACGCCGCGCTCTGTGGCTGTCCAGTAATCAATAATCACCTGCTGATGGATCAATCATTGAACTACTGTTTTTTATGAATAAAGGGTTTTTCTGATGCGTGTATTCCATGAGCGAGCACATCTGACATATTACAAGGCTAGATCGTTAGTGCCTTAAGTGTATTTCAGGTAAAAGTGCTACGAGGATTAAAACGTCACCTTCGATCAGATTTGTTAGTTACGACAAACCAGGCAGTCCTGTCACGTTCAAAACCTGAAAAAGAGAAAAGCAGCTGAGAGTGCAAGCTAAGGGCGGAGAAAAGGCCAGCTAAACTAAACTGCAAATTAAAGGAAACGAAACCACTCACAAGGTTGCTGAAAACTCTTCGGCATCATAAACGAGAGATTCAATTCAGTCTCCTGTGAAAGCCAAATTGATTTGCAAATGAGTGTATTTCTCGTAAACTACGACTCATTTTACTTGATAATATCTAGGAGGATTCCGAAGCGAGTAATTTACGACTCATTATGACGCTATGCTGCAAAAATAGTTTAGGAAATTCGATTTAAACTGAACACAGAACGCTTTGTTTGCCTTCATTTGTGAACTAACTGTCGACAAAATTTGGAATCATTGGAGAAATTTCCTATGCACTAGCATTATGAATTTTTTCAGTGTTCGTCCACGTACATAAATTTATCTCCGTCGCAATAGCCGGTACGGATTTTTCTCACAGTTACATTACTTGTTTGACTAACCTTCCACCGGTTCTGTAAACTGGTTGCCCCATAGTTTATTGTCTGTGGGAAATCGTCTCGTCTGATTTTACCATCCAGACAGTGGTTGGTATTTATTGGCTTACAGTGGCTGAAGTGAACCGGATATGATCAGGCCACCTAAGTCGATAATTGGTTGTTTGAGGAAACAAGTCCAATTTGCAACAATGCTTGAAGTTTATTGCAATTCGCAAGTGTAATTTTATTAGTGTCGTAGTTTGGAGATTTTTGGGACTTGTCTAATTAGTTTGAATAACTGTGTTACCTTGGGTTGTCCGTAACCCGGCGCTTCCTATTCATTTCAAAGCTGGTGAAAACAATGAATTACCCAGAAAAAATTGGTTAACAGGTTCTACATAATATAACCTGCTGTCGGAATTCTTTCGCTTTCAGCGGAAACAATTAAATGCTACGTATGCTCTCACTGCCCAGTGCCGTTTGAACCCGAAGGGGCGAGACAACTTGGCAATTGCAACTACTGCAGGGTGAGTTACCGGGGATACCACAATGGGCATTATTAACTGACAGTGTATTGTCCCATTGTTATTTTAGAATTTCCACCATTTTAATGGGGCTGAGAGTAGTAAATACACAACCGTTCAATACATTTGACAAAACTTTTCCCATGGATTTACTATGCCAGAGAAGTTGTGTTTTGCATGCTAACATAAACACCTTTGAAGTGAATCAGCTCTTCAGATGAGGAACGTACTGCCTGTTCAAGAAATACACTCATTTGCAAATAAATTTGATTTTCACGAGAAACTCAACTGAATCTCTCGTTTATGATGTTCTACAACTGGGTTCAAGTAGAACATAAGGTTGATGGAAACTCGGGGACTGCGCCTACCTGATGAGCCCCAAGAAGGGCGAAACCAGTCGTGGGCTGTCGATGAGTTTTCAGCAACCTTGTGAGTAGTTTCCCTCATGAAAACACTACCTTCTTGAAGAAGGATTATGGGTTCTAAACAAAGTAGGCATTTTCTGCGCTAGCATTGACTTATATGCCTCGACTCTTCACTTTTCTTCGTCTGAGTTGTCAGTTGTTGTCACATGGTGCTGTTTGGAAAATCCGTTAACAGTGCAATTTAATCAGATCCGGTCAAAGTGGCAGACACTTGTTATTTGTGAAAATTCCTGACTAGAGCTTAGAAATGAAACAACTTCAGGAACATACATGTCCGTTATCAATTGTTATCACCTAGGCTGTGTGAAACGGTTGCCTTTTTTTACGGCTTCCTCCGCAACTCTAATGAGAACCGCAAAGTAAGGTAAGTAAAGTTGAAGTAATCATACTTGTTGGTGGCTTTCCAGCATAGATTGATGATAGGACGAGATCTCAGTGGACAATTACCAAATTTTTTCACACCATCACTGCCCACAGGAAGAGTAAGTTCGCAAGATGAGTGAGACTTCGATCTGAAAAGGAATTACTCAAGGAGCCATTCAATAAATAACCACGTGATGTAGTGTCTGTGGTTGAAGGATGAACTGAGAACTAATCACTAATCACTAACCCGAAGACTGCGCCTACCTGATGAGCCCCAAGAAGGGCGAAACCAGTCGTGGGCTGTCGATGAGTTTTCAGCAACCTTGTGAGTAGTTTCCCTCATGAAAACACTACCTTCTTGAAGAAGGATTATGGGTTCTAAACAAAGTAGGCATTTTCTGCGCTAGCATTGACTTATATGCCTCGACTCTTCACTTTTCTTCGTCTGAGTTGTCAGTTGTTGTCACATGGTGCTGTTTGGAAAATCCGTTAACAGTGCAATTTAATCAGATCCGGTCAAAGTGGCAGACACTTGTTATTTGTGAAAATTCCTGACTAGAGCTTAGAAATGAAACCCTCCATCACTTTGCAGCTTCATCACAACTGGGGTGCTGCAACCAACAGATTAAACTATCCGAAGATCTTGTGATATCGGCTGTTTAAAATGACGGCCAACGTACATACATCTTGGAGAAATTCCGTCATGCTGTTTCCTGTTTAGAGGTTTATCCTTGCCGAGAAGTATTTTTGCTATTTTTGGGCCTTTTCGGTGGCAGATCTTATGATCCAGCTGGCCTGGGGCTGATCTGAAGTCATACTGTACGGGTTTCTGGCCTTTCGTACTTTAGCAAATGGTTAACGAAAACACCACCTCCCAAGTGATCAAAAAACTGGTGTTAATCAAGAGTGTTTCATATCTAGCCTCTAAAGCGCAATTTTAGCGCAGTGTAGCGGAAATGAGACCAGAGGTTTCCTTCCCGTGATCTATATGCACAACAGTAAATTCCGCCGGCCTCGTTCGAACTGTTCGGTTCTCTTGATTTGACCGGAATAGTGATGTATCTGTCAGGGTTTATTGCATACGGTGAGCGACAAGCGTCCTTACCACAGTCAGTCAGTAGGTGCAGTTGAACTGAACGACTGACTGGTTATCGTTATCATAGGTGAGCAATCATAAGGTGTAATGCACTGCCAAACAGAACGCGCACGCTTTGGTGTGTGTGTGTGTGTGTGTGTGTGTATGGATACAGGATTGTGCGAGTGCGAGTGTACGTTCGTGAACATTCTCGGCAAACCAACTTCAACAAATAGAGCAAGTAGCGCATAGTAGAATAAACGAATGGAAAGCTACGCTGGTGCGCAGTAAACTGTAGTAAATTTTGGAGCACATTGCAAAACTTAGTGGGTATTTTAATGCACTAATCATAGTGTTGCTGAAAACTCCTCGACAGCCCCCGACCGGTTTCGCCCTACTTGGGGCTCATCAGGCAGGCGCAGTCCCTGAGTTTCCGTCAACCTTATGTTCTAATTGAAACCAAACCGCACGAACTGAGCGAATATACACTCATTTGCAAGCTATTTTGGATCTTGGTTTCGCTAACTAGCTGGATGATTACCTGAACACAGCAACTATCGGGATATACATTCGGTATTCCCTTGGAAGTGGGATTCTCAAATGAAATATTCCTCCACTCATTAAGGGGATTCGCAAGTACAGGGTCACAATGCACTTTTAGTGACAATTTGCCTAATATGGCTGTATCTTTACCTTACCCAGAAAAAATATAATCAAGCGTGCGCACCTCTCACTGATAAAAACAATCTCGCTACCATACGCCTTAAAGTACCGTAACTTTTCCACATAGGGCACTCCGTTGGTAGCGTGTGGAGATTGCTCGTTGAGATTTCATCCTGTAATCGGAGCTGTTCTATGGTGAAAATCCGAGAAGCATTGTGAAGCTGCTTTAGCCCTGTTGGGAATCATCAGCAGTGCGCGTCTCACAAAACTTCAGTGAGTCTCAAATCCATGGCCGTGCTAACTAGTAAATTGGAAGAATAACCATTCGATCAAAAGCAGGGTCACGCAGTTGCAGAAAAGTTAACCTCATCGGTGTTCTGGTTGGAAATTTCTTTGATAGCTAACTCGACAAGATGGGTTTCTTCCAGTTGCGAAGCTTAGGGAATACACAATTAGATGCAAACTCAGGTTGTTGTCTGTACGTTCTGCATTGATCAAGCAAAGTCACCTGGGTCACCTTGGTCTGGGGGTCTGAATTTCGCATATTCATACACTTTTTCAGCAGCGCCATGCAAGTGCAATCCTGGAATAGCGAACAACACCCAAAAGTAACTTCTAAAGGCAACACTCCGCATCGTCACGTGTTGTATCTAGTGTTTCCCGCAAATTTTTTTCGTTTGTTGTCCACTCACAGTAACGAATCACATAATGAGCCATTGAAGACAAACTTGCTGTTCGACACAAACTCTGAACTAGCAGCTGGAAGAAGAGATGACCAATTCGTCAGCTATTTGAAAATCCATATTCCTCAAATGAATGTGGAATACTCGTAAGGAAGTATGGCATGAACGAATGCCTTGGTAGAATCACCTCTTACGTACTCTCTTTATATTTAAGACAGGTTATCTGACTGAGCAATTTCATCATTTTGCATGAAGTCGAAGAGATTACCGGTGGAAGGAGGAATGCCCCTCTCAGTGAAGTTTTTCAGCAGCCAACACGAACAAACCTGTTGCAAGTCATTGAACACGAAAGTGAACATTTCAGCTTTAGAGAGTTTTTTTAGAATGAAACATTATCAAATGCCTTATTGAACTTTCCTCAACTTTCGTTGGATAGTAAACAATAATTAACGGATACTGCGAAGCTGTTTCACTATTTTCGTGGTACAATTCACCTTCCATCGGCAGCGGAGGGCGAAGTTTGGGAAACAGACCATAGGCTACTCGTATGCTTTGTCAGTAGCATACCGTTACACTGGCACCCCAGGTTTAATGATGGGTGTTGTTTTGTTCGCTGATCTTGGCGAGTTGGTTGCAACAAGATTGTTCTAACAGCTAGAGAGAATACCAAACTAAACCAGACAGGTAATAACCTGATCAAGTCATGCCGTACCGTGAACACGCTGAAAACAGTGGCAGACAATCTTTGGATGTTCTGTCCAGTTTCGGGGGTAGTTTGACTCCCTGAATGGGGAACATAACGAAGTCAGCGCAATAAAACTGACTTAGCTAAATTTGCAACTTTCGGCAAGAGATAGACCAGTTACTAATCTTGTGCGGCTTGCTAAGGCTTACCCTGTCCGCGGTACTATCCAGAACTGCGGTTGGCTGAATGGTGAGAAAGACTATCAATTACGGACCTAGAATGTCGACAGTGCATCAATAAGCCGCCTGTAGACAACAATAATCCATAGTACTGTGGCTAAAAAATGCGTCCTTGCAGTATAATCTACTTGCAGTGACCACTTCAAGGACGCCGAACATCACATTTTCCGGGCATAATTGGTGGTTCTTGAAAAGGCTAGTGAAACGTAACACTGACGGTACCAATTGCTTTTGGTGTCATGAGTATGCAAGACAAACCAGCGCTTCAGCTGCCAAATACGTGAAGAGCGTTCTGGACGAATAAATTAGATTATGCACTATCATTGTTGTGCGTGTAATCCACCACCTCCTTCAAAGTGGCCACCATATTCTTCTTGGTAACTTGTATCGTACTGCTTCATAACCAGGGAGGTACATGTGTATAAAGGAAAGTAGAAAAACAAGCGTTCCTAACAAGAATCAGCATGTGAATTTTTGTCTTAATTGTACCCGGTGTGCAAGCACTTAATTTTGAACGGTTGCAAGGAAATCACTGATCATTTGGAGGCGCGAGCCCACGCTAGGCAGAGCAAACTCTCGTAGAGTCTAGTTCCAAGTCTGATTACAGTAACAGTGTGTAAAACCGTATTTCACCAAGATGCTGTTAGAAGTTCTTCAGATCACTAGAAAGTACTTGATCCCAGGGAGTGCTAACTCCGTTCATAAGATCGGCCAAAAGCTCCCTGTTATACGGAAGGAGTCACTCCACGGTCGCTCTGAAGAGCAAGTCAGAAGTCATAGCTTGAAACTAACGATTAAAATAGTCGTTTTCAAGATTTACTCGGACTATTTTATTGATGCCAAGGACTTTCGGGACTTCTGTAGACTTCCAGTATGTCGCTTTTGCTAGAAAGTAAGGCAGCAGCATTCCATTAGCTCAAAAGAGATCTAGTCAGTTAGTTCAACAAAATATCGACCGATATTTTTCTAAATTGTGATTGGTCTTTTGGTCTACATGAACATTACACATATTTTTATGATCTAGACAGAATAATCCAACTACATAAGCCTGTTTTTCCCGAGTACCTAAAAAATTTCAGTGGGTTGAGGAAAAAGCATGCTTTTTGGCATCATCACCAGTCGCCCTCTTTTTTCATAATTCCAGACCCAATACAACTACCTCTCTGCTGACCGCGTTCGCATAGAGAAAGACTGTGTTGTCAGCTGTGTGGAAAAAGACCGTGTTCACAACTCACAAGGCATGAAAACCGAGTGCTGTACAACAAACCTGTGCAATCCTGCCACGACCGCAACGCCAAGTCGACGTATACTAGCTACAGCTGGTCTTCTGATGTCGCTTATTTCTTCCAAATCGCTGTTGTAGATGCACACGTGACAAAATTTGAATGCCTTTTCTGAGCTTGGTAAAATAAGATAATCTAATTTTCAATTCTGAATCCACTCAATTCCCTATGTGCGCTAGATCACAAGCATCCACTATACACAACTTCTGTTGATTTTTGTGTTACTTACTTCGCTTTCTGTCCCAAGAAAACCTTATATATCCTTCATAGGTGACATTACCCAATGTGACCCCCGGCGCAAAGTACCAGTAACCAGCCGTAATCATATAGTTACCTATAAGCAGAGATGCACTGCTCGTCGACTTTTGTCAGCAATTCCTCTCCCTCCAAAAAAACAGGCGTGCTTCAGAGTGCAACCCATATACACCTATTTCTTTGTTTCCGTGTTCCAGACTTCCATGTGTTTTGTTTCTAGTCAATAAATATATCTTAGAATAATCCAGATGTCTCTTGTTCAATCTTCGTTATTTTGAAATTATTGGAGCGAAAAACAGAAATACAATGGGTGAGGTGATGTTCAAATTGCGACCAAAGCACCAAGGATTTCGCTTGGTACGGACGTTTGGAAAGTTTGCAGATTTTCAAAATAGATTATGCACCACCGAGTATGCTTTGTTCACATCAAAGGAAGAGTTTTTCGAAAGTGCTGGGTTATTGATCACGATTGTGAAGATGCCTTCCAAAATATTGCAACTTTCCTTTGAAATCGATGATCCCTACTAAATCTTTGGAGGGAGGGATTCATGTCTCTGGAGCTGACAGTGCTTTAATGATGTTGGTTTGTTCATAGGCAAACCTTACTGCACATGAGGCCGCTAAGACCTCTTCGACAGCCCATTATCAGTTTCGTCCTTCTTGAGGCTCAAGGGATACACTCAGTCCCCTAGTTTCCATCAGCTTTATGTTCTAGTTGAACCCGAATTGTGCAATATTTAAAGAGCACACTCATTTGCATACCATTTCGGTTTT